ACCCGAAAAAAGGTAAAAAGAAAAAAGCCTGTGAATAACTCAAGAAAAGGAAGATTTCTCTCAATGATGCAATAAACCAGATTCCGAATTTGAATGATTCTAAAAGCACAGATTTTACACTATCCAAAGCACACATGATAAGTGTGGATAGCTCAAGAGAAATGCTGAAAAAACATACACATAACATTGGATTTCATACTTTCTACTCCATCAGCTAATCATTATCACAAACTAATACGAGGCAAATCCGACAGAAAAAAAACTTCTCAGGCCCAATGCTAGCCATTTCACAACCAGTGTACAAACAATACTTTAGAGACCCACCTGAAATATGAGACCCCCTAAAATGCACTTCCAATTTCCTGCAAGAAGGCTGATTTCTGTAGTGGTCTCTGCACATACTCTCCTCCATAGCTTCTCATGGAGAAAAGCAAAAACAACATCAACAACAAAATTCATGAAACTTAATCTCAGACAATGAACACATAAATTCAAAAACTAACAAGATACACAAAAGGGGGAAAAAGGGAGAAAACAAGGGAACATCCCACTAAATTGCCTCACTACAATGACAGTAAAAATTGAACCTTTGAAGCCTCGCGACCTATGTAAAACGACATCGTGCAGGTGGTCGACGGCCAACAACAGAGCCCATATCACATCACGAACGTACCCTTTTGAAAATCAACATTCTCCATAGCCAAAAACAAGTGAAAGCTCCCACCTTTCTTTTCTGTATTTCCCTCTATTCTCAGCACTCGAACTAGAAATTCAACAGACGACACGAATGAAAATTGCCCTCGATAAAAAGCTAATATGGGTTCGCGAATTCAAAGGATCTTTGCGAAATTTCGATAGATTTTAGCCCCCATTTGTAGAGCCAAGAAAATGTGAAAACAAAATGAAATTTGAAGCTAAAAAGTGGCCGATAATGGGACCTGTTACTTAATCCTCGTTTTCTCGCTCTAGGAAAACTGGGTTGTGGGAGTTGTTTTTGTTCTCTCTCTCTCTGTCTCCTAAATGAATTTTCCATTTTTGATTTGGTTATCTCTTATGTGTCTCTGCCAAAAATGGGGGTTGAACAAGGAGAAACAAATAGGATAATAAATTAGAAACAAATGAAATGAAATTAATATATCTTTTTTAATTAATTGTTTTCTCAAATTCTAGTGTGAAGCAAGTCTAACTGACAGGCAAGTCGACTCGTCACATTTTTCGAGTTAAAATGTATATTTTATACTCTTATACTCTCACATTGCATATAATTTTTTGTTTCCCCATCAAGAATATTACGAAAGATCGTAAAGAGATTTAGTAGAAAAAGAATATACAACTGATCCCCACATGTGAATTTTGTTGGTGGTTCAATATTAGGGATGCAAACGAGTCGAGCACTTGTTTTATCGAGCATAATTGGTTTTTTTTAATTGCTCGAGCTCGAGCTCCATTTATGAGGCTCGACTCGATAAAAAAAAGTACAATCGCTCGAGCTCGGTTCGAAAATTTTTAAGTGAAAAAGAAAATAAATCATACTATTGTAAACACATATGTTATACTATTGTATTATATATGTGGTATTTTAGTAATTTAACATATATTTCGAGTCGCTCGACAATGCAAAATATGGGCTCGAGCTTTGACTCGACCGCTCGCGAGCCACTCGATTTATTTGCACACCTATTCATGACCGAAGATGTGAAGTTGTGTTCATGATAAGTGGGGCGTTATGTATTTCTCTAGTATGATATATTGATATTGATATTTGTGGAATTAAAATATGTTTTAAAATAATTATATATTTATTGAAGTTATATTACTGATTATAAATTCATAATATGATTGTCTATACGGTCACGTATGTTTAATAACATCATATATTATATATAATTCATTTTTGGCCAAACAATTTTGATTTGAAATGGAAAAAAGACATGCAACTTCATATTTTTCACCCAAGTAATCTTTTGCATATGTTTGTGCAAAAAGAACACGTCTCATCAAAAATAACTTGATTAGTCCATTGTAAGGATTTTTTACTACAAGTAATTAGTCACTTCACCTGAATTCTTGAGGTTGGGATGATCGAAACTATCGTAGTATTTTAATTTAAAACTATGTAAATTATCGAAAAATTATGGTTGTCTAACCGTTAAGTCAGCTGTTACGTCAATTCTGATGAATTATAGTAATATAGTGACCAAAGACCTTTAACAATTTACTTAATTGGTATAAATCATAGTGTTAAAATAGGGGAAGAACAAAAAGAGGCAGTAGCTAAACTTTCTAGAAAGTTATAATAATTAAGATAATTAAGAGGGTAATGACTTCATCGTCGATCACTATAATAAATAATATTCGAGTTGTGCACATGCACAAATGCTAAAAAAATCATTAAATATGTGTTTACGCAATATTTAAAATCATAAGTTTGTTTACTGAGTAAATAACATTTATAAATTTTATCATTAGTAAAAGTAAACAATATAATTATAAACTACTTAACTTACATATTAATCTTTATACTTATATAATCCTGGTTGATTGTGACCAATTAATTGAATAGCACAATATTGAAATTATTATTTATAGCAATTGTATATGAATTTTTAAAGTGTTTCTTATGCCATAAGGAATAATTAACTAATTTTAATTAAAAATGTTTAATGAATTTTAAAAAAAGAAATAATAAATTTAAATAAATAGTTTGAATAACTTTATAGAAAAGAATAGCAATTAATATTACTTTATTATTAGTTAATAGTATCAATTATATAATAAAATAAATAAAAAATATAATTGCTTGATTAATGCAAAATAACGAGAGAAACAAAAAGATTTTTATTAAAATTCATTTCTACCAATTATATAATAATAATAATAATAATAATAATAATAATAATAATAATAATAATAATAATAATAATAATAATAATTTTCAAATTGTAAATTATTTGGCTTGCTATCACAAATTAAAATAAAGCACTCCCCCAAATTCCAATTTCCAATTGACAGGTAAAGCAAGCCCAGCATGGTTTAAAATACCGGGCTGGATTCGGGGATACGAGTGGACAAGCTTCAGAAACTTGTAGATTAATAGCCCAACTATTTATTAC